TAAACGTGAGGAAGCAAATCAGACTAATCCAGGTAGCGGACACTACAGAACAAATGGTCCGGACTCTCCTGAGCATCAGTATCATGAAAAATGAAAAGGCAGGTGAACTCACCAGAAATGCATACGTACGTTCACAAAAAGGCATATAAAGTATGTATTTTCACAGCAGCACCAACTGTCATAACCCAAAAGGTGAAACAATCTACATGTCCATTAAGGGCAGAACGGTTAATAACAAATAAATGGACAAATGTGTTCACACGATGTAAAAACTATATATAGCAGTAAAAGTGAAATGTCCCTGTTCACAACATGGATAATCTCATAAATGTAATGATGAGTGAAGGAAGCCAGACACACTTTATGATTGTTTATATAACGCTCAAAAACAGACAAAATTAACCTATGGATTTTAAGTCAGAATAGGGGCAACCTCTGGGGGTTAGACAGTGATGGACACTAGCAGGACTTCTGAGGTCCTAGTAATGTCTGATTTATTGATCTGGGTACTGGTTACAATTCACCTAGCCAGACAAACAATTTGTATGTTCTCTGGACATATGTTAAACTTTAGTAAAAGATCTTTTTTTAAATGTTAAAGGCTAGGGAACCATCCTACATTAAAGCAGACGAAAGAGATCAGTCAACACAATCTGTTTCTTGATTGGATCCTGATATTTTTAACTGGGAAAATTTGAATGTGGGCTGTATTAAGTAATATTTTATCAATACTAAATTTCTTTCATGACGATATTGTAGTTATGTAAGAGAATAACCTTACTCTTATGAAAGGTGAAGTATTACAAGATGAAATATTGTGATGTCTGTAACTTACTATCAAATCCTTTAAAAAAAAAAAGATACATCAGGAGCCCTGGCCAGGGTGGCTCAGTTGGTTGGGTATCATCCTGTGCACCAAAAAGACTGCCGGTTCAATTCCCAGTCAGGGCACATGCCCGAGTTGCCGGCTCCACCCTGGGCAGGGGGAATGCAGGAGGCAGCCAATTAATGTTCCACTCTCACATCCATGTTTCCCTCCTCCTCCCTTCCTCTCTTTCTTAAAAAAAATATATATGTGTGTGTGTATATATGCACACACACACATATATATGGAGACTGAGATAAAACAAATTCAATGTAAACTGTATCTGGTGAAGCTTTTATGGGAGTTTTATAGCTCTCTGTATTATTCTTTCAACTTTTCTATAGGTTGGGAAATTTTCAAAATAAAAAGTTGAGGGAAAAGCTCTCGTTTGCACTGCTGTCATTCAAGAGTCCTTAGCCTTCCCAAACTGCATGTAGAGACTTGGAGAAGAAAACTCACTCTCACTGAGCACTTAGTATGCATGACATGCTTTGTTATTTTTTTAATTTCTTTATTGGCTTGAGAGAGAGAGAGGGAGAGGGAGAGAGAGAGAGAGAGAAACGACGATTTGTTGTTCCACTTATAGATGCATTTATTGATTGATTCTTGTATGTGCCCTAACCAGAGATGGAAGCTGCAACCTTGGCATATCAGGACAACACTCTAACCAACTGAGCCACCCAGCCAGGGCATGACATTCTCTTTACATCTGTGACTTCAGTTGACTCTCAGAGCAACCCTCCAGGGTAACTTATTACTCCCATTTTACAGAGGAGAAAACTGATGCTCAGAGAGGTGGAGGGACAAGTCCTGTAGTTAGAGAGTGCTAGGGTTCAAACTGAAGTGTGTCAGACACAAGGCCCTGCTATCCCACCCCATAACATCTTCCTTGGGCTCTTCTCCTTTCCCTGCTTCTGTTTTCTCAATACAAAATTTACTATGTCCAGTGAGCCTCAATAGATTTGAAATCTATGCTCTGTAATAATACTCAATATTCAACAACCATTAGACAAGCAGATTGAACCATGCCTCTACTCTCCACTGAAGACAGAAAAGTTGGTGGGTAAGTATGGAAATAGGGATAACATTTCCTCTTCCTATGGGCCATAACATGTACAGACTAGACGGGACTTTAATCAGAGATTAGACAGCAACATGGGGAAGCCAGAGCAAGGATATGAATGAAGCAATAAATGCAATCCCAACAGACCGTCCTGAAGGCAGACTACGACGACTATGCTATTATGAAAAAGTAAGTATATCCCTGAAATCTAAAAGTCGCAAAGAACAACTAAAATAAACACCAGCATTTGGGGTGTTCCTTTAAATTTCAAGGAAATTACTTCAGAACAAATAACTTTAGTGGACAACATAAAAAATCATACCCCAAAAGACATTATAATAGGGCTTGAGGAAAAGTTTAGATCACTTGTGAATGAAAACTCAGAGTTTCTTGAATGGAATTATAATAGATAAGACACTATGTCAGGCACTGTTCTAAAATAACTCATTGAATCCTCAAGGGTAACCCTATGAGACAGGCACTAGTGTCATTCCTCTCTTACAGCTGGAGAATCTAAGGCCAGAGAAGTTAATATTTATCCACCATCACTCAGCTGGTCATAGTGGGGCTAGGACTCGAAGCCAGTGGGGATGGCTTCAGAGCTCACGCTTTTAACCACCGCTCTACACTGCCTGTTAAGGACGAAAGCGTTGGTTATACATCCTTCATCTTTCAAAATGAGATACTGAGGCCACAAGGCCCACTAACAAACTTCTATGAGACAGAATACTGCCTCAGCCCCACGCAGTAATGCAGCTCGTACCATATAAGCCAAGTTTGGGGGAATTCTCCAAACAGTTCCTTCCATTCCACTCTGCTTTGACTAGAGAAAAAGGAAACCAGGTTTACCAGGACTTAAAAATGAAATGGTGGCTCAGCTGGTAGGGCATCAGCCTGTGCACTGGGCACCTGCCAGCTCCATCCCCGGTAGGGGGTGTGCATGAGGCAGCCAATCAACACTGCGCTCTCCCATTGATGTTTTTCTCTCTCTCTCTCCCTTCCTCTCTCTCTAAAAATCAATAAATTATTCTTTCTAAAAGAATGAAATGGCAAGTAACTGGTAAAAAGAGCCGGTTCACTTGAAAAGTGTGCTTTTGCAGCTTATTGTTAGAAAGTGGGAGAATCTGGCATGAAGAGTTCGTTTTCCTCCAGGTTGCCAGTGTATTCTGATGCAATCCCATTTCTACCAGCTTTGGAAAGGAGGGCAAAGGAGAAACGGAGCTGAAAACCAAATAAGCGCTGGCCAAGTCCCCTTAAAGGACCTTACGTCCTTTCCACATGTACAGAGACGGCAATTTCCAGAACCAAAAAAAAAAAAACCTCTGGGTACTAAATGGCTCCAAGTGGCAAGGTTTTTAGTAATGCTCACAGCACCAGCAAATAGAAGAACCAGGGGCTGAAGTCACCCGTTAGTCCCAGCCTGTGGGCATTCCTAACATATAACAGTTGAGCGAAGCCCAGATTCTGAGGAGTCTCAGCATTTCAGCAAGCTCACTGGGGTAAGCAAGAAAGGAGGGGCCCCCCTCTCAGGACACTCCTCACACTGGGGAATTCCTGACAGCCAGGCGGCCAGCATCGGCCCTAATGATTCCCCATGTTTTACCATCCAGACATCTTCTTTCTGAATCATTCCCTCTGCTAATGGAAGCCGGCCTGGGGAACACACAACTCCTCTAAGTGCGATTCCCATAATAAACTTGTCATGAAGAACAGAGGAGTAAGGAAGGAACACCAAGCGGCCGGAAGGAAGGAAAACGCCAGCAGGCCGCTGCAAAGTCCACAGGTGTTTCAAGGGGGCGACAGGCGAGTGAGGGGGTCCAGGACGGCACCATTTCCTCCGTCCTCTAATTCCAACTAAATTTAAACACTTTCGGCTCACGGGTGGAGTCGCGCACACCTGGGCTTTAAATCCAGGCTCAGTCGGGCACAGGATCAAGGGCACGGCACAGCCCCTTTAGGATCCACTTCTGCAAAATGGTGGTTAACGGCCTGTGCACTTCATAAGGGTTCGAGTGAGCACTGAACGAGATGATAAACGTAACTGGTCCTGGGCATGACAGCACACACGCGGGGAACGCGGGGAACGCGGGGTGCGGCTCAGCCCGCCTCGGCCCCAGCCCCTCCGCCACGGGACGACCCGGCCCTCGGAGGGCTCGTCGCCCCACCGCTTCCCGACAGCGGGCTGCAGGCATGAGCCCTGGTCCTCAAGGTCCCCTTCCTGGATGCTGTGAGGTTTGGCTGAACCTGTGGCTGAAAAGCTAGATCGGCGCTCTCGATCCAGAAAAGCACCCTCGGGGAGGCGAGGGCCGAGCCTCAACCCCAAGCCCCGTGGCGTCTCTTGTTTACATGGAGTCCCATTCCCACCAACGCGCTGAGAGGCTCCGACCCTCCGGCCGGCCTAGGGGAGCGCAAAGGTGGCTAACGACGGAGGGGAGCTGCGGGGCCACCCCAGGAGGCGGAGGCTGGGGGGGGGCCTGATGGAGTCAGGCCCCTCCCGGGAGCAGCAGCCCGGAACCCCCGAGCCTCTCACTCCCCTCCTCAAACAGCAGCCCTCGCAGCCCAAGGCTGGGGGCTTCTCGACGGTCCCGCCACCGCCCCGGCCAAGCTCAAGGGAGACCC